AGAAGTCTGAGGATTTATACGCTTTCATAAAAAACTAACAGAATGTTAAGGTTCCACTGTTAGGCACTTAGAAGTCAGGAAATTACAAAGTTAAGTTAATGTATATGCAGTACAGTACCGTCTGTGATTAGATGCTGTCTCTCAAATAATACAATCCAATGTATAAACTTCTATACGTAGGTGTAGCATCTTGCACAGAGCTAGTTGAAAATTTACCCTCATTATTTTGTGATGGAAATTGTTTTTGACAAAATGAAAAAAAAAAATCTTTTAAAAATTTCCCACTTACTTTTAAACAAAAACAGGGTTTTGTTACAAAATGGAACATTTTTCAGCCATTGAAAACCAAAAAATTCCAGTTTTAAACCACTGGAAACCTGACAATGTTGACAAAATTTAAAAATGCATCAGTTTTTCACAGGGGAAAAAAATCCATTCCTGACCAGCTGTAATCTGTTAGTACTGCACCCACTAGGCAGTCGGTTATAGTCATTTAGGAGAAAAGTACATAGTAAGCTGTTTTTAAGTAATATGTTACGGTGTAAACGTAAAAAGTGCAAATTTGATAGCATGGATAAGCCACACAAGTGTACACCTAAGGCAGCTTCATAATCACTGCCTCATTGTGTAATCTGCGCCTACAGAATCCTGTGCTCCTGTTGGAAGAGAAATTATGTAGCACATGGCTGTTGACGAAGGGTTCATTTATGCCTTTAGGGCACCAGCCCTCTGCTGGGAGGAGAAATAATGGTAAAGAAATAATGGATATAGAGCTATCACTGCCCTTAGTGGGAGCTCAGGGAAAACAGGTTGCCTCCCTGAAGCTCACAAGCATGCAGCAGGGTCTGCCCACAACTACAGGGAAAGAGACAGCCTGTGGCCCCTGTGCAGCCAGCCAGTTCCCTTGGCTGATGAATGGGGGTATCTAAGCCTGTCCTGTTTTTAAGGTGATGTACAGGGAGTACACAAAGGGAGCAGTGCTTGTGCTTTGGAGAGAGCACAGACTGATGATGCGCTGCTATACAGGAAAGCACCCATGTGCATTTTGAAAGAAGAGTTAACGAGGTTAGTTAAATCAAATAAATGGTCTTATTACATCTATGCTGTGACAGGGCTCTTTGATCTATATCCATTATTTCTTTACCAGTATGGCACTTAAAATCTGTACCACTAGGTTCTTAGGCTTTTCTTCACTATAAAACTAACAGACACTTCCCCCCTTTTTAGGTGGGAGCTCTGTAAGGGCCTAAGAAATATGTAGAGAGTTTAAATGATGCTGAATATAAATTGCTACACCAAATTTTGCAGCAATAAAATTGCAAAAACTTTGCAAGCCTATAGAGGGCTCAGTTAACTAACTTATAACACAGTCTGCATAATGAAGGTTATATTTGATGTTTAAAGATGCTATTTTGTACATATTTGTTTGTTTTCCTGAATACCATCGTACACTTGTGAGTTAACAATCTTATTTAGGAAGTGTGTCTGTTGAATGCTTCCGGTGTGGGATACAACTATAATACCGGATACGGTGTTTATGAATGAGGAGGCAAAGCTTCTGGCACACTAAACAGTTCATTCTGGTATTAGGGGTATTCCTGATTTGAATGGTATCATCCATTTTAATGAGAATATTAGTGGAATCGGTAATAACTCTAAAACCAGAATGAAATTTTTAGTTGCACCCACAGTAATTTAGGTCTCAGTGAGACTGTGGTTGTGTGCTTAAGGCACATGTGTAAGTTTTTGCAAGTTTGGGGGCTAACTGAGGCCATTTTGGTTTGCCCGGGGTGGGAGGGAATGTGATTGTTCTTCTGGCTGAGGAAGAATATCTTGTGTTCCTCAGCAGTGACCTCTTTGGATGACTATGGAGCAGAGTTGCTTGGCTCTGAGAAGAAGTTTTGACCATCCTGTGTCAAAAGGCTGGTAGCTGTGATGTCGGACCACTGTATGTGAGAGGAAGGGAAAGTCTTCTTTTCTTGTGAGCCGCATCAGTAGGTTCAGATGTTAAGATCCAACACTGGTTTTCCACTGAATGCATCCGATGAAGTGAGCTGTAGCTCACGAAAGCTTATGCTCAAATAAATTTGTTAGTCTCTAAGGTGCCACAAGTCCTCCTTTTCTTTTAACACTGGATTGTGTCACTTCCCTATTTGTACCCTTTCACTGGCTTCCCTTGGCCTTCCAAGCTTTTGCTCAGCTCTTCTCCGGCTAAATCACTGCTTATTTCTCTCTGCTCACCTCTTTCTTTTTTTCCCTTCACAAGCCCCTCCTGTTTAAGAGCTCACTGTGTATCCTTCTCCCACTCTTGCCTTCAGACCTTCTTCCTTGCTGCCCTTTTGTGCTCGGAACAGGCTTTGTTCTAATCCCTCTTTAAAAAAACCCTGCTCCATAAGGCCTGACAATAAGCCACCGAGGAGATGCATTTAAATGAGAAATATGTTAAACTGGCCATCGTGCATGGTTTGCTCTGTGTGTGTCCTATGCACTCTCAAGCTATATTTTCCTTTCCCGTTGTTTACTCTTGCAGAATTGCTAATTACCAACCCCAAGTGTTCAAAAACCATGAGTTGGGCGCCCAAAATTATGATTGGCTTAAAAGTCATTATACTTATAAACCACGCGCTGTCACCCCACCCCGTGTTTTGGGTTCTTTTTATTTGTCTTGTGTTTTTCGAGCCTTTCGGGTGTGCACTCAGGTCACGTTTCTGAACTTTTCTGCACGACGATGGGGGCTAGAAATTGGACAACTGCCTTTCTGTTTCCTTTTTAAAAGAGATTTTCTTGTAATCACAGGATTCCAGGAGCTGAGGCTTAAAGAAAAACACGACATATTGTCAGACTCGTGATAAAATCACAAGAATTGGCAGACAACTCTGTTGTCTTTCCATCACCCCCACAACTTTCCTAGTCTGTATGTAATGTGTTGGTTATCCTTTCACATATTGATCTTAGACTGTCATCGCCTCAGAACAGAGATTTTAGTCTTTTATAACTTGTAATGCACCACACATGCCTTTGGTACTAGAAATAATCTAATACCAAGTGCCTTGGATTTTAATGATTGAGCATTTCATAGTCAAGAAACTTTATTTAAAAAAAAAAAGTCTTCTTTGGGTCCCATAAACTGGTTATTGTGCTCCCTCTGCTGGCTCTACAGGAGCAGCAGATATACACTGTCTTCTCCAAGCCATGATTGCATTGACAGTGCTGACATGCAAACTGGAAGCTCTGTGAGGAGAGATTGTCCATGTTCGTATAACACAGTTCCTCTTCACAGTGCACTGCTTATACAACTGCCTCACTGGAAGTGCAGTACTTACATGAAAGTGACCAGAAGGACTGAGAGAAGTTTGTGATACTGAACCAATGGACTGGTGATAGCGAGTGTCAGTGGGGGTATAGGTTATGGGTAGCATGGAAGAGATGGGTTTGGGCCAATTTTTTAAAAAAGCGATGGAGAATCCATAATGTGGGATCATTAATAATGCTTAATGCTTTTCAGCCATAGGTCTGAAAGCACTTTAAAAAGGAAGGTCAGTAGAATCATTCCCATTTTACAGATGGGGAAACTGAGGACCAGAGAGGTGAAGTGACTTACCCAGAATCACACAGTGTGTCAGTGGCAGAACCTGAAATAGAACCCAGGACTCCTGACTCCTCTACTGGGTGGAACAAAAGTCTAAGCTCTAGTGGAAAGAAGTTAAAATTGTGGGGGGAGAGGGAAGGTATCTGTGGAAGGGAACAAATACATAATGGAGTTTTGAAGAGCTTATTGTATTGAAACTAAAAGATCAATTTTTCACCAATAGTGTCTGTCAAAATGCAGGCTTCTTAAAATGGTTATTTTTTACCTGGACAAGAAATACAGCCAAATCCGTTTTTGAGGCAGATTGTGTCTTTATGAAAATATACTTCTTTCAGTTGAGGATGCTGTTCTTAGCAAATAATTTAATTTTTAGCTTTTTTACTTTTTGTGAATTATCCATTAACAAACTAAATGCTCCTGCAATCCAAATAGGAAGTAATCATAACTTACATTTTTTCATTATTCTACATTTGTCATCTAACCCTGAATCTGGGTATTTTGCAGCGTCTGAGTTGTTTCCTAACTCTCTGGTTTCAACTCCTAATAATTGATCATTAGCAGTTGCTGATTGACTGGGCACTGAAATCACATGGGGTATTTTCTGCTTCGGAAGACTGGCTTTTCATGAACGTTCTTGCAAACAAAAAATCATTGTGTAAAAGTTAGTTGAAAATTAATAAAAAGGATTACAAACTGTGTTTGTGTGTGAACATTCTTCATTTTTTCTGCCTAGTATTCTCTGAGTTTTAGTGCCTATTAACAGGAGCCTATAAGGATATCTTGCTTGACTGCTGAGACAGCATGTAACAAAACCCATGTGCCAGTAAACATTCCCCTGTCCCTCCTTACAGTATTTCTTTTATGATTTAAACAGCATTTCCTAGAAGTCAAGGGGCCATGCCAAAGTAATCTGTAAATTTGCTTTGTTTTGCTTCAGACAGGGTAGTGTTTTGTGGTATTTTGTTATTTTGTCTCCTCCACCTAAACAAAGTTCAGGGTTGGATTTTTTTTTTTTTAAACGATAGTTCATAACATTCAGCAAAGAGTCTCCATTAAGAGAATGAAAGAGAGTTCAGCATGGCATTTAACTGAAGAAAAAATATTTACCTTTTCAGGTTAATAAATCTGGATACTCACTTTAGTAGAATTCACTAACAGCTTCTCATCTTCATTTTACAGATGGGCAAACTTTGAGGTTCAAACTGATAAAGTGGTTCACCCTAATCCCACAACGAATCAGTGGAATTGCTGGTTATAGAAGCTGGGGTCCCAAATCTTAATCCTTTGCTCCCACGTCTTGCTTTTTAGAACTTTTAAAGTTCCATGAGTTTTTGTAGATCTGCCTTAGCAGCTTAAATGCTTCGTTGTACCGATGAGGATGTGTGGGTAACGCATCTATATTTCATTGTAGGAAAATGGATCGTGTTATGTGAAGGCACTGAGAAAATAGTCATCAGATCCTGAGAGGAAGAAGGCACTTGTGGAACTCAGGTAGGAAGATTTTTATTCTCAGTTGGTAAAATACCGATGGGCCTCTTGTCTTTTCCAGCCAGTGCATCATGGTTTATGCTTTAACTACTCATCTGGTTGCTATCAAGGTTCATCAGCTCTTTTGAGAAGCAGTTCAATTGATGACAATGACAAAACACTGCAAGCAAAGCCCTTGGTATAAACATTCATTGGCTACCTGGGTTTAATTCTGTTGATACTAATATACAGTACAAACAAATTACGCGTGCACTGGCCTTTCCAGCTGTAAAATAGAGCAATAGCATATTCTGCACGCTCCCAGTAAACATGCACTTATAATAAACAAACTAGCAGTCCCTTAGTAGAAATTCAACAGTAGTTTCAATGAAGTGGTGTTTAGTATTTATATCCAGGAGTAGTGAGAAATGAAAAGTACACAACAAGTATTTTTTTGTTTATTTGTTTTTGTCATATTTAGTTATTTCCTTCAAACTTGTTCTACTCTCTTTGTTTGGTTCAATCTATTTTTTGTAGTAATTAAAACCCATAAGATGATAGGTTGTTGTGCCTCTGCCTTTGGCATAGTTCCAGAGTACCTGAGTGGATTTCAAGTGTTTTTGCAGCGTGGTTCATGTTTTGTCTTATGAATCAACTGCCCCCTCACTTGCTATTATGGGGACCATTTCCACTTCAACTCTCAAGAATGCCTGTGTGGCACTGCGTAGGTGGGGAAATAACTTTAGGGAAATGTTTAATGTATTTTCAGTTGTTTTTAATGCAAATTAGCAGCTGGAAATAAGGAGGAGGTGTTAGTACCACGTGACCATCCAGCTTTCTGCAGCTCACCAGCCAATGGTGCAGAGATCATAATTTGAGAGCCCACTTTGAGAGGGATTGGCATTAATGATTGAATTGACTTCCCTTGTCTATTACTACCAATATTTCTCCCCAGCATTTCAGTGATACATCTTGGTGAAGTGCAGACTGTTGATCTGAAGCATTTCTTCATCAGTGTTTCTTCCCAGCCTCACCTCCAAACACCCTCTGCTCCCACCCACCTGCTTATTTCAAGAACCAAATGAGAAAAAACTGTTTGACCAATATTTATACGCCAGGAGGGGGGGAAGGAGGTTATAGTGTAAGTCTTGCTTCCAGCAGAAAATGCCATCCCAGTTTTGCCTCTGATAATTAGAAACATTTTTTACATGGCCACTGGAACCAGTTAGTGATGTGTGCCTGCCGTTTGCTGTACTTTATTACTGCAGTGCTGTCTTCCTTTTTTGTTTTGTTTTTTTTTCCTTTTAAACCAAGAAAACAAATATTCACTGGTATAGAACAGCATTTTATGACCCCCCTCTTCCTCCTACATCATGAATGATTACTTACAAATACTGATAAAAATGGAAGGCTATTATTCAAGCTTATGCTTCAAGTGATCTTTGGTCACATTTAGCAGAACTTGAATGGGCAAATCCATTCATTAACAGTACTAACAAAAACCAAACTGAAAAATGGGAAGACCAAAAAAAATAAAAAGGGAGACCAATGAATCAAGTCTTCATTGCTGGGTGGGAGACGTCTTAATTATTTATACCAAGAAATAGAATAGCACAGAACAAGAATGATAAACCTTGCTTTAGAATACCCTGGGAATATTTTTGTAGCAGTCTCCTAAAAGGTACGTTCGGGTTTGTGCCCTACATCTGAATATATGTCTAAAGACTTGACCCTTTCAGTACAAAATAATATGATGTGTCCAGCCATGGGTTAGAGAATTCAGCCAAATAATCTTTAAAAACAACCTTGTGTATGCTGCCCTGGCCATGGATTCTGGCTTCAAAGGAAAAATTTCCTTTTTCCATTCCATGAAGAAACTCAGGGGAAAGAAGTTCTTGGCTGTGCCTTCAGATCACATGGTTTCACTGCTGTAGAGCAGGAATGTTTGCTATGGTATTTCCGGAGGCTTCATAAACACAGAGAAAGAGCAGGTTTTTTATTTTTTGCCAGCAGAAGGACATTACAATCTGGGAGTGCTAAGAGCTCAAACGATGAGGGGTTTCTGTTATAAACTACACAAGTGTGCCTTAAAGTGCATGTTTTTAAAGAAAAATCAGAAAAGCAATGTCAGGCAATGTTTTTGTTGTTGCACTTGTGTGAGAGAATAAATCAGTTGTTATTGAAATTTGATTCTTGGGAAGCTAAATATTAACGCAAACCCCTCTGTTTAGATGCTCTTAACAGTTCACTTTTGACATGTGTCATTTTAAAAGGCATTCTGGAATCTGTCTTGATAGCTGTCATCTTGCAAACCGGAGTAAATCGAAACAAAAGATGATCACTCAAACAAGGTTATAGAGAAGAGCCATTCCCTAAGTCTTGCTGTCACAGTGTAGAATCCCCAAGTCAAATTAGGAGAGCTTTGAATTAGTTCTGGCTCCTGGGATCCTGCAGTTAAGATTATGCAAACCTGCTCTTCCTCATTGTAAGAAGAGCACACATTCCTTCTGAGATTCTGTAAACACCAATCCAGACTGGGCTGTAGGATGAAGTGTGAGGGCCTCAATCTTGGACAAGATGGGGACCTTCCACTTGAGTGACACTAAACTGGGAGGAGAGGTAGATACGCTGGAGGGTAGGGATAGGATACAGAGGGCCCTAGACAAATTAGAGGATTGGTCCAAAAGAAATCTGAAGAGGTTCAACAAGGACAAGTGCAGAGTCCTGCACTTAGGACGGAAGGATCCCATGCACCGCTACAGACTAGGGACCGAATGGCTGTGCAGCAGTTCTGCAGAAAAGGACCTAGGGGTTATAGCGGACGAGAAGCTGGATATGAGTCAACAGTGTGCCCTTGTTGCCAAGAAGGCCAATGGCATTTTGGGATGTATATGTCGGGGCATTGCCAGCAGATCGAGGGACGTGATCGTTCCCCTCTATTCGACATTGGTGAAGCCTCATCTGGAGTACTGTGTCCAGTTTTGGGCCCCACACCACAAGAAGGAAGTGGAAAAATTGGAAAGAGTCCTGCGGAGGGCAACAAAAATGATTAGGGGACTGGAACACGTGACTTATGAGGAGAGGCTGAGGGAACTGGGATTGTTTAGTTTGCGGAAGAGAAGAATGAGGGGGGATTTGATAGCTGCTTTCAACTACCTGAAAGAAGGTTCCAAAGAGGATGGATCTAAACTGTTCTCAGTGGTAGCAGATGACAGAACATGGAGTAATGGTCTCCAGTTGCAGTGGGGGAGGTTTAGGTTGGATATTAGGAAAAACTTTTTCACGATGAGGGTGGTGAAACACTGGAATGCGTTACCTAGGGAGATGGTGGAATCTCCTTCCTCAGATATTTTTAAGGTCAGGCTTGACAAAGCCCTGGCTGGGATGATTTAGTTGGGGATTGGTCCTGCTTTGAGCAGGGGGTTGGACTAGATGACCTCCTGCGGTCCCTTCCAACCCTGATATTCTATGAGTCAATGATTAGTGGAAGCTTTATAGCCATATCAATACAGCTTTATGCATGAGTGAGATTAGTGATGAAATTAGAGGCGAACATACTGGTCCCATTGTAATCGCACTATATAACATCGTGGCATTGTTTAAACTTCAAAAATATACCCTCTCTCAAGGACTGTGTTGAAACAGCATTACAAAATTTCATACTGTTAGATGCGTCTAGCCAAGGAAGAGCCATTTGCCCCAAGAACAGCAAACACAGCCTTCTTATAGAGGAAGTAATCTGCCTTCTGTTAAAAAGGAGTTCTCTGGATTTCTCTGAAAACTCTCCATATATTTTACTCTCTCATTAGTGCTGTTTGGATAATGGTAAGTATAATCCATGAAAAAATGGAAAGAAATGAAAAAATTTGATTAAAAATATTGCTGAAATTGTCAGGGTTTTTTTTTGTTTGGGGAAAAAAATAGATTTTAAAAAAACTGTAACTTTTTCCGTTTTCATTGAAATTAGAAAATTTTGAACAATTTTGTGAAAATACTCACCTTTAAAAATGGAAGGTCATTTTTCATAAACAAAAAATGCTTTTGACATGCTCCATTAAATTATAACATCGTAACTTCTAGAGGTCCCAGCAGAGGTCTAGGACACATAGTGCTAGATGCTACACACAGAAAGACTCAGCCCTTGTCCCGGCGATCATACACTCAGAAGAGGCAAGACAGAGAAAGGACAGGGAAAAGAAGTAGCATTACCCCCATGTCATGGTTGTGGAACTGAGGCAAGGAGAGATTAAGTGATTTGCGTGAGGTCAAAGAGGAAGTGTGTAGGCGAGTCTAGAATCGAGCCCAGAGCTCCTGCATCCCAGACCAGCACATTAACCACAAACCATCCTTCTCTGTTAAGCTTTTCTTCAGCAGTGAATGGATATTTCTGTTGAATGAGACTATCTTGGTCTGCAAGTCTCAGTGGCTTTATTGAAATTGGAATATTTTTCTGTTCCAATAAATTCTGGGATATTGATCACACCAGGTGCCACCTGTCTGTCTCAGCTATTAGCGTTGAACTCCTGTGACTGCGTCCAGGGTCTGTTGGGAAAGTCTGACAGAAGGGAATAAAGGATACTGAGTGGAGAAGAGCTGTAAATGGGGAAGAGAGGGAGAGGCAATCTGCAGGTGGGCAGGTGAGAAAACAAAACAAAACAAAAGGACAATAATGGATGACAAAGAAAGAAGGAGAATAGCAAAGGAGAAGAAGAAGTAGGAGCTGTGAGGGAGGAAAGGAATGGAAGAGATTAAGAAAAAAAAAAAAAAGCAAAGCTCACAGGAGGAAAATATTACATGAAAGGCAGGAGACAGTAACCTGTATAGGGAGAAGTAAATGTACCAAACCTTGGGTCTCAAGGCTGCAGGAAGTGTGGGTGGGAAGTAACAGCAGTTCTGGGTTTTGGAACTGGAAATGGGTGTCATGCTATTCGTTTTCTCTTCCATTATTTTCCCCAAGACCGAATGGAAGTACAGCTCACAGCTCTACCTCTTATAATTCTACCTCAGCAAATAGGGTCTCATTA